ACCAGCACCAGCAGCACCAGCACCAGCACCAGCACCAGCAGCAGCAGCAGCAGCAGCAGCAGCAGCAGCATACCTGGTGTGAGTACATGCGGCAGAGCTTGTGTTTTATGTACGGCCTCAAGCAGCGGCCTGATTCTGCATTTGTGTATTTCTTGTTTTATTTTTTTTTCTGTATTTGCGGTGAATAGCATTTCTCCTTCTCCATACTCTTCTGCTTCTATCTGACGAGACATCCTGCTGCTGCTGCTGCTGCTGCTGCTGCTGCTGCTCCTGCTGCTGCTGCTGCTGTTTGTGCTGCTGCTGCTGCTGCTGCTGCTTGGTGCTGTGCTGCTGCTCAATGCAGAAGGTAAAGGGGTAGAAGGAACAGGGGAGGTGCTGCCGGGAGACCCCTGCTGCTGCTGCTGCTGCTGCTGCTGCTGTTGCTGCTGCTGCTGCTGCTGCTGCTGTGGGGGGAGGGTTGTTGTTGGTTGGCCGTCTGTGGGCTGCTGTTGCTGCTGCTGTGCTGCAGCAGCAGCAGCAGCAGCAGCAGCAGCAGCAGTAGCAGCGCGTGTAGGACTATTAGTAGCAATGAGTGCAGTGGTTGCTGCTGCATGACCGTTCCTGCTGCTGCTGCTGCTGCTGCTGCTGCTGTTGCTGTTGCTGCTGCTGCTGCTGCTGCTGCTGCGGGGTGCAGCATAGAAAGCTGCTGCTGCTGCTGCACCCCTACAAACAGCAACCCTAAACCTTTTTTTTCTTAGTACTGCTTCTCTATCAACTCCCCCGCAGACATAGCGAGGAAAAGCAGCAGCAGCAGCAGCAGAACCACCTAGATGGAGAAAGGCTTCACGTGGCAGCAGCGGTGGTTCTTCTGCTGCTGCTGCTGCTGCTGCTGCTGTTGCTGTTGATGCTGCTGTTGCTTCTGCTTCTGCTGCTGCTGCAGCAAACGCAGCATCATCACCCACATCAACCAAACGACGACGTATTATACGCCGACGCTTCAGCTGCTGCTGCTGCTGCTGCTGCTGCTGCTGCTGCTGCT